GGTCACCTCCAGGGCAGGCGGGAATCGAACTCATGCGGAAGCGGCTTTAGATTCTCAGTGCTGTGCTTTAACCCACTGCGCCACCAGGGAGGGCCAAAACCTTGTAATTTTTAAAAGCCAAGTGGCCATTTTCTGAAATTTAACAATTAGTGTTAAATTTTTGTTTTGAGGTTTGTTCTTGTTTTTGTTTGAGGTAGCACCTCCTGTAAATTGTAGATCTCATTTGTTGAGTATACAACTTTCCCATTTGAGGACATTTGTCAGCTGCCAGTTTGCCTTGAGATGTGACACTGCCCTCAAATGGAACTTTTAGGGTATTGGAAGTCCTTTTAGCAATGTGTCAGATTTGGCTGAAGTCAGCTTTTCAGAGTTTTTATGGACTAGAAACAGATGGTTAAACATGACATTGTAAGTCACTTATTTGGGGCAAGAAGAACCTGCTTCATTTGAAGCATCCAGAGTTTGATGAATTGGACATCCTGTTTTTAAATGAGTGATGTCATTCATAAAAAACAAAGAAGACTCTCCTGGCCAGAGGGTTGCATGTGTGTCTAGGGCTGCATTAGTGAGGGCTAAACACAGTTAAAACCATTATTCTCAGAAACAAGCAACTAAGGTCTCTGAAGATACAGCAATAAATTTATTTGTACATTATATAAATGCAAACACTTGTTTTTATGCATATAGTTGTAATTTATTTAAAGAGTTATGTAATCTTAAAATCTTTCTTGTTTTAGCATTAAGATCTTAATACAATTTTGAATTAAGTGGAGCTGCTTTTTAGTTAAAATAATTTCGGAGTTTTATGATTTTTTGTTCGGAGGCTAATACATCAAAGCAGAAGAACGTTTGTGCCCACTGACTGTGGTCTTTTCTAGATCACTCCTACAGTGACAGTACGGATATGGTGAAGGTCATTGTGCACACCGTGCAGAGTCAGGACCGCGTTCTCAAGGAGCTGTTCGGTCATCTGAGGTAGAAAAGTGGTTTTATTTCCTATTGAAAGGTTAAGATACTTTATCATGTTAGTTTCAAACTATGATACCTCTGTCTGGTAAAGATACTAGACCTAGTTTTGGCAGCGCCCGGCAGCTTGACCACAGCTGTGCATGTGTGTCCTGCCTGCGTTCATTGCTTTGGAAATCAGTCATTGAATGTGATGCCAAAGGTGAATAACTTCTCCTGCTGGGTTTGGGGTTATGGTGTGCAGTCTTGAGGGGTGTTTGAGTGTCTGACACTGATTTAATCTCTCCAGCAAGTTGTTGGGCTGTAAGCAGAAGATTATTGATCTCCTGCCCAAGGTGGAAATGGCCCTCAGTAACATCAAAGAAGCTGACAATGCTGTCATGTTTATGCAGGGAAAGAGGCAAAAAGAAATATGGCATCTCCTTAAAATTGCTTGTGTAAGTAACTGTTAACAAATTATTTAATGTGACATTGATTTGCTGTAATTCCTGCAAAAGGGAAGTTCAACAGCATCATCTGTGTCCTCTTGCAGTAGAGCATATTTTATGTGGGTTGCTGCTCATGTTCCTTGCTTGGTCTCTGACTACCAACTCAGATACAGAACTTCATGATCATCCTTTGTTAACACTCTCCTTTCCAATCTCCTGTTTTTATAGACCCTACCCCAATTTGGGGCTGACTACCTTAGCCTGACTATGTAATGGGGTGTTTTCCCCCATTCTGTTAACTGGGGTGTTTTCCCCCCTTCTGCTAAACTGGAATTAGAGGAGCAGATACATTTCATTTTCGTCAATGAAAGAAAGGGACCAAGGACAGAATAGTTAGCAGTGATATGTAAAGGTGAGGTTACTTTGTATAGGAACTCCTGTCATACGTATTCCTAGTGGCAGAAATGTGAGTCCTAAGAATATGGCAGAAAATGATGTGAATCAGTGAAGGTGCTTGCCTATAATTAAAAAAATTTTTTTCCCTTTAGACACAGAGTTCTGCCCGATCCCTTGTAGGATCCAGTCTAGAAGGCGCAGTAACCCCTCAGGCATCAGCATCGCTGCCCCCAACTTCAGCAGAACATGAACCTTCTCTGTCATGTGTGGTAACTCCTCAAGATGGGTGGGTTCACTTTATAACAATAGATAGTTGTATTTTCAAGAGCAGGGGCAGGAAATAGACAGTAGAGCAATGGCTAAGGCCATTATAGACCAGGATTGAGTCCTGACTGTCTTTGTGATAGATAACCTTGTACAGTTAACTTGACTTAAAAAATACATTTCCTTATCTATAAAATAGGGACTACTGTGGAAATTTAATTAGATAATATATGTAATATGGTTGGGAAGTAAATATTTAACAAATGTTACTTATTAGCTCAGTTCAAGTTCTAAGTCCTGTCTGTTATTAGCTATGTCAATTCTTTTACCCAAACTTTATTCCTTCCTTAACTACTTATCTCCACAAGAAATTAAGCTATATAATTTGTCACTTGGGGGTCACTAATTGCCCGTCTAATAATTTTTTGGTTTATCCTGAACTTGGTGTTTCTAAAAATCAGACTTTTTCAATGCCTTAAATCAGTTTTACAAATAAGAACTCAAGTTTAAGCCCTATATTTTCTTTTATCAATACCTACTCTTCTGCTAAAAGCTGAATGACTATCCATTTCTGTTATTTTCTCAGCATACGATGTGCCGTATCAAGAGCCAGTGGCTCTTTGCTAGCTTGTGTATTGTCGCTTTTCTCACAACTCATGGAGACCTCTACAAGCACCAGCAGTTCCTGGAAGTTCTGCCCATAATTAGTTTTGCAGAAGTGCAGCCATGTTACATCACTGCTCAGGAGGTCATGCAGCTGCACATTCTTTTACTCTGCTTTTATGAGAGAAAAGTACATGGCAGGAAGGCAAGTTGATATCAGGTATTTTATTCTTTTAAAGAAAGCAAGTTCCAGGGTGTATCTTGGGGTCATTATAGATTTGGCCCAGAGTAATACACCCACAGCTGTAGCAGAGATTATAACTAATTATAGACTTCAGCAAATATCCCATAATCAGAATTGAGGCAAACAAAAGTTAATACTTTACTAACCTTTTTGCTTTCATAAAAGACATTTATGTTTGTTAGGGGTTTTTAATGGTTGCAAACGTCACCTTTACACAGGTAATTTCCAACTTGATTATTTGCAAAAGTGTATTTCACAGGGATTTACAATATATTTTATAGTAGGAACTTATTGTAAAGGAAAAGTAATTTCACTTATAATGTACTCATGGTACATAACCATCATTGATTAGGAACTTTTAGCTTCAATTTTTTTCATCTGTTGAATTAGAGCTGAATTGGAATTTAGTTCTGAGTTAATAGTGGCTATCATCCATGGTCCAAAGCTGATTCTCGTAGGGTAAGGACTAAGGCTTGGTAAAAGGGGAGGACAGTGGCCATGTGGAGAGGAAAGCGTAGAAGGTGGGAACCAGAATCAGGATTTCCCTCAAATATAAACTTCCAGGAATACTTCTTGGTTCTCAGTAGCTCCCCCATCACACTGTTTCTTTTGCTGTCCTCAGGAATCAGCTTGCTTGTGTTCTTTTTCATTGCTGTCATCTGCAGTTTTCAGCCAGAGTTGTTTTACTTCCCTAATCTTTACAGAACAGATTATATTTTCATATCGTCTCTCCTCATTTGCGTCTCTGAAGTAAGCTTATTGGTGTTTTCCATACTTGTAAGGGAAGTCCAGAAACCAGAAAAAATTAAAAAGAGACTTTTTATCTACCTGTGCCACAGATTCCCTCCTCCACCCCAGTTAGCATTTTCAGGGGGGAATAGCTGTGTGTAAATGCCACTTATATTTCAGAGACAAATATGCAGTGCTAGTGAATTTTTTGTCACCAGGGCTGGGCCAAGGCACTGCGTGGAGTAAGCAGCAGGACTCTGCCTCTGGGTGAGGAAACAGAGACTAAAGGAGTCACCTGCATTGGGTGCTACGTATCAGAGGGGCAGGCCCCTTCGACCACGGAGACTAGAAACTAGAGGAAACTCACAAGCCCTTTTGCTGAATTTGAACAGGCTTTGTTTTTTCCATCTCATAGGGAGACTTCAGCACAAATGATAGAAGAAAATTTGAACTGTCTTGGCCATTTAAGCACTATTATTCATGATGCGAATGAGGAACAGGGCAGTAGCATGGTAAGTTTTATGTGGGCAGAGAGATATTTCAGGTATGTTGGTGACCAAAAGGTCAACTTTCCAGGGTAGGCTTATGTAGCCTATTTGGGAAGCAGGGGGGGAGGGGGACAGAAGATCTCAGGAAAGGACAGTCTTCAACCTCAACTCTTCTCTTACTCAGGGGTGTACTGTGATTATGTTATCAGTATTTTGGTCCGTGAGTGGTGAGTTTTCATTGCAGTGTAACCACTAAAGATGAATGGTTTGTACTTTTTTACTTAGCAGTCAGTTTTCTCCAATAAAATGGGGTGGAATTTAAACTATAAATCAAATATAGTGACTACTGTGCAAAATGAATAATGTTACTACTGTTATAATTACTAGTATATATTATTTTATATGTAATAGTTTATATTAAAATTTGGTTACTAAAACTTGGAAGAACTACAATAAAATGTGCATTGAATTAACTTCTACCAAATTTAGTTTGATGTCAGCTCTTTGTGTTTCCTTTTCATTAAGAATAATTATTTATTTCAAATGCTAAAAAAACTGAACATTTTTTAATTAGCAGAAAATAAGATAAACTGAATTTTCTAATTATAACAAATTTTCACTTTTGATTTTTCAACTTCTTATTTTAAAATGTCCAAACATACAGGAAAGTTGCAAAAATGAATGCCTGTATACCTACCACTTGTAGACACCTTCTCATTGTAACCTTTTCATGGCTGATTTTAGAATCTTGATTGGAGCTGGTTGAAAGAATGACTTGCTCTCTGTTCACTATCCCGGTGGGAGTTGTTGCTGCACGTGTTGAAACTTGTTTTCTTTCATGAACCCATTCTTCGGACACTAGTCAACAGAAGAACTGTCTATGATTAGAAACTACTTACGATTTTAACACAGTATTTTAACTTCAGGTAATTTCAACTTCTGAACTTTGTAAGAAGTCAGTGGATTTGTTTAAATACTACATCTGCTTAGGAGTATCATTGTGATTCATTTGTCTTCAAACTTGGGAAAACATTGCTTATTTAACTGACTAAAAGAATCTTTTAATGTTTAACTTTTGGATATAAAGCCAAAGGTATATATAGAAAAGAAAACCTCAGCTAATCCGTATTCCTAGTAAAAGTTGTCTGCCTGTGTTTCTTGGAAGAGACTGCTCACAAGTAAACCTGTATTTCTTGAAGAAAAAAAACCCTACCTCCTTGTGTTGTACAGTACTCTTCCTGGCATCATAAGGAGTTGGCTCAGTCACATTTTCAATTTTACTGCACATTTGACAGTATTCCTTTCCTGCAAAAGGGATTGTGCATCTGTGCTTTTAATACCAGTTGAGGCACACAAGTGTACTATGTGTATATGTATTTAAGATGTACATTTAATAATATCAGAGAGATGATGCCTGTTAATTTATAATGTATTTGAAAACTTAACCTGTTTTTTTCACTTGTAAAAATGGTTAATTTGTTTAAGGAGTCTTTCATGTCTTGTCATACAAATTTATAATGCACTCCCATATGTCTAATCCCAAAATTCAAAAGACTGTATACAAGGGTTTTCTGTAAGGTTGGCAAAAATGCTCATTTGCTTGCAAACCTAATTTGAACTGACACTGAATCTACTTATCCCATCAGTGTGAATATTCATTTATTTTGCTGAGGAACTAGTAACCTGTTTCGTAATGGGGGGCAGGGTACTGTCACATACCCTGCTGGGGTGGGGGCAGTTTACGTAGTATGGTTTGTGCACTGAAATACCTTTGTAAAACCTGAAAATTTTGTAATTCCAAAACATTTGACCCTAAGGGTTTCAGATAAAGGACTGTGGAGCTCTATCATCTGTTAAGTAAATTAGAAGGTATTGTTTGTTTTTTTAAAATGTGAAATGCTTTTGTATTTTAGACAGTTTTTCACTTTGTATATTAAATGATTTTTATGTGAAATTTCTTTTTGAATCTGTATTCTTTAAAATTAGGTTCTAACATAACAGTTAAATATGTTGGAAAAGGGGGCCTCCCAAGTGGTGCAGGGGTTAAAGTCTTAGCACTATCAAGCTATCACCAGCAACTGTGGCAATAATTTGATCTTTGGCCAGGTAGCTGATTCACATGATACAGGAAATCTCTCCTTTCTCACCCCGCTGCTTCACTCTGCAATGTATTTCAGTAGGTCTATCTGTTCTGCTCCTCACTCTGCCTTTAGTGAATCCTCTCTCACACCCCTACCCTCTGCACCTCTGACCCACACCCCAGTTCTATGCAAAAATAAACAATCTTAAAGAAAAGGGTAAATTTAAAAATATATATCTGAGCTTTCAAATATTATCTGGAACAAATACCATCCCAGACATTCCTAGGCAATAAAAGTCCAATGAATGATACATGTTAGTGCATTTATTAGAGAAGTGGGTAGAGTGGCCTGGGAAGTCTTGCTCTTATAAAGACTTGAACAAGTCTATTTAACCTTTCTCATTTCCATTGTTACTAGTTATACTGCAGTAATTAACCACTTGGAGTCCCTCCCTCGCATCTGCCTCCACTCTAAGCCATGTTGCAGACGCACTGACCCTAAAGCCCTGTCTTCCCATATTTTCCCTGCCCAAGTTACAGGGCTCTCCAACCCAGCTCCTCTCCAGTTGTGACCCCATCACTAGCCTTTCAAGGTTTACAGCATTACCGCCCAATCTGTTCTGATATGCTGCCTTTATTTCCCTGTAGTTATCTCACTCCCATCTCTACTCTAACTTTTGTCCTTTTTTTTTTTTTTTAAAGTATAGGCTTTTTTTTTGAAGATTTTATTTTATTTGTGCATACAGAACTGGGATACAGGCCAGAGATGTGGAGGGTGAGAGAATTCACCAGAGACAGAGTGGAGTGCAGAACAGGCAGATCAATGAAATACACTGCTGAGGGGAGCAGCGGGCTGGCCAGGAGAGGTCTGCCACGCCATGTGGTCACCTCCGGGGCAGGCGGGAATCGAACTCATGAGGAGGCGGCTTTAGATTCTCAGTGCTGTGCTTTAACCCGCTGCGCCACCAGGGAGGGCCCTGTCCTTTTGTTTTTGATAATATTTGTATATAATGCTGACTTCTGAAAGAACAGAACCATACCCAGTGAAAGTGTCTTATCTCCAGCCATCCAGTTCAACCTCCCTGTGGAAAGCTGCATTCCAATCTTTGAAGCCGGGCTAGCCTAGCCTAACCTCCCACTCCTTCCACTGGCATTGGCTTTAAAGAAGCTCAAATGCTCACTGTCCCTTTTAGTCTTCCTGAGGGAACCCCCTGTCCCCACCACACAAACAGCATAGGCATGTGCTTTGTTCACTCTTCCTATTGGCCAGGACGACTTTTAAAGTCCTCACTGGATCAACATTCTGGCACATAATAGGTGCTTAAAAAAATACTCAGCGATGATGCAATTAGATGGAGTATCCTCTTCTCAATTTCCCTAGCACTTTGCTTGTAACAGGTCTGGGTGCACCTATAGCACTTGCTTGCCCATACAGTACAATTGGTCGAAAACCCCAAGTGGGCAAACCAACTTATCACTGAGTCAGAGTTCTCTGCACGAAAACAAATGAACCAGTCCCAGTCCGAAAGGCCCTCTCCTTCCCTCTGCACTGCTGCTTACTCCAGACTGCCGCCTTCCCTGCTTTTGCGGAGCAGGAGAGTCGCTGCAGTACACCGGGCACACCTCACATTCCTGGGCAGGGCCTCCGCGGCGGGTGGCTGTGGGAATTTTGTCCCGCCCGCTCGCCGTCTCCCCCGCCGCGGGGCTAGCGCTGCGTCAGTGTGCGTGCTCGCGCAGCCGCAGTGCCCGGCGAGTGGGCGGGGCCGGTAGTTGGCGGCGGTTGGCGCGGCCCGGGAGGCGGCTGCACGTGCGGGCGGGGGCGATGCGTCACTGATCGGTGAGGCGCGGCGGAGGGGTTGGCCTCCCTCCGGAGCCAGCGGCCGGCCCCCTCCCCAGTTAGTGTCTTCCTCGGGGGGAGCGTCTCGGTGTCACCACGCTCGCCGAGCCGGGGTGGCCCGCGGGCCGCCTGCAGCGGCGGGGTTGGCCAGGGAAGCGGCTCAGCGAAAGAGAGGCATGAGGAGACGGGGGCACAGGACCCCCCAGCACGGCCTGCGGGAGGGCACCTGGTGTCTGGAGGGCCCGGGTGGAAACTGGGTGGGGTGGGCTTGTCACTCACGGGGCTGGGGGGCCCCTTCCGCCCTCATCCCGTAGGAACCAGGATGAATATGACTCAAGCCCGAGTTGTGGTGGCCGCCGCGGTGGGTCTGGTGGTTGTCTTCCTGTACGCCTCCATCCACAAGATCGAGGAAGGACACCTGGCTGTGTACTACAGGTGAGCGCTGGGGCGCGTACAGGCGGCGCTCCCGCGGCAGCCCACGAAGGAAGCAGTTTCTTCCAAGTGCTGCGTCGGGTCGAGCGCTCCCCTGCCCTGGAAAGTGGTGTTGGGTAGAATGGGACCGGGGCAGGCGTTTGGCCGAGCGTCCTCCAGGTGTTGAGCTGTTTTCTTTCGTGCCTTGTGCGTTTTGTGCAGAAAGGAAGGCTCCAGCAGTGAGCCCGTACGGAGCGAGCTCAGGGACTCCAGTTTGTAGGAAAACTGGACGGGGGAAGAAAGGCAGTCATGACCCTCCCGTAACTGAGTGCCTAAGTTGTTGCGTGCCTGCCTTACGACTGACGGCTTTTAGATTGCAACCACAGGTGCTGTTTGTTTATGGCTGGCCCAGTTCATGGTTGGTTGTTCCTTGGACTTTTTTCCTTTAAAAGCTCTTCCTGTCAGGTTTTGGCCTGTAAGCCCAGATGCCGGTATAGCCCTGGGCCCCAGAGCCAAGGATCCAGCATTGGTGGGCCACCCTCCCCCCCACCTTTCCCTTTTCAAGCTGAAGACACGGTGTGGGGCTGTTCTTTATCGGAGCTTGAATAGCTTTTCCTGCAGCGTAACTGTCACTAGTTCCTTTTAATACAGAGGACAATTTGGAGAAATTGTGATAGTGGTATATTTGAAAGAGCTTCAGTTTTTTGTTTTCATCATTCTGCAAAACCGCTATCTCTACTTTTATGTCCACCCTGAGTCTTAGAAAGCTTTCCCTGTGCAGTGCTAGTTTCAAAGACAGTTTTATTAATAATACCCTTACCAGGTGGGTATGGTAGAGACCATTACAAACGACAGTATTCCGTGTCTGGCAGGTTCAGGTATGGAATAGTAATGTCCATCTGACAGTAAAACTAAGAAAAGGGTATTTAACTCTCAAAGACTTAGAGAAGCACCTCAGATAGTTCGTCTTTTCTAAATTATTTGTCAGGGACTCTTTGCAACAGTATAGGAAACTAAGTTCTGTAAAACTGCTACTAATATATAAAGGATGGACTTCATTTTTATATTTGCCCCTAAATGCTTCCTCTTTATAATTTGCAAGAAGTGCTTTCATCTTCCAGAATTTGGTGAACAAGTCCATATTTACATCCTATTTCCTTATAGCCTCATCCTCTCATCTTTCGTCTTGCCATGCTAATTCTTCATTGTTTTTAAAGAGACATAGTGTCCCCAGTAATATAATCACCTTGTAGGCAAATTAAAAGAATCTTACCACTTTTCTCCATCCTTGAAAATTTGTGTTACCTTCTTTTTAATAACCGGGTAATTAAATATATTATGTTTTGATTGGGCTCATGTTATATACAATTAAAGCACAGCAACTAAGAGCTATTAGTTTGTTTTTTTTCCCACAAGTATTTCTCAGAAGGATACAGACCAAACAGAATCCTTTGAAACAGAGAGTGCTTTTGGAGACCCAGAGGTATGGTTGGTTGAGCTTATGAAACAAAGTGTAACACTGGCAATTTAATTTGCTCTTTTTACCTTTTTAGGTGTGGCAGTATTTTAGGGAGCAGCAGTTGTTCAGCATGAGTAATTCTGATCATTGAGGCTTTAGTCGGTTAATACTTGAGTAAGAATGAATATTACATAGCATTTTAAATTTGGAAAGAGAAATTCTCTCTTTATAATCTTGTCAAATCGAAACGTCTTTTGCAGGGGAGGAGCTTTACTAACTAGCCCCAGTGGACCAGGCTACCATATCATGTTGCCTTTCATTACTACGTTCAGATCTGTGCAGGTGAGTGATTACTAGGGAAGCCCCACACTGGATAGACAGGTATGACAGGAGCAGTTACCACACATGTGGGTGGAGCTGGATTTCTTTATTGCTTAAGCAGACTGGTATTTACTTAAATGCAGGACTTAAAGTTCAGAGTACAGTTGTCCCAGCAGAAGTCATGATTTTGAACATCTCACTCTTGGAGTATGTTAGAAGTGTGCGCTAAGCAGTTTAGATCAACTTCTCCCACCAATATAGTGCTGTGCAGCAAGCATTCATAAGCATTCATAAGCATGGAACACAGTTAAGTAGAAATATAAGCCAGTGATTCTTTGGTTTAGAACAGTGTTTGGTTTCCATAGAGGCAGACTCCTGGGCTACTCGACATGAGGGATCCGAATTTTTATACACAGCTTTTCTGCCTTACATTTTTGGCTGGGACATTAAGCATCATTTTACATTGACCCTTAGTGAATGTTTAATTTTGAAAGCATCGCAGGATATATAAATTTGTGGTCATTTAGAACACTGTCTTGGCCATGGGAGACTCTTAAAATATCTTGACATAACAAGATGACAAAAGAGTATTAGAATATGACTACTTTGCAAGCTTGATGTGATCATAAATCTTCGCATTTGGGGTTTTTTTCTACCGTCTGCTAATTCTTCTGGAGTCAGAAAAATTACTGTATTTAATTAATCATATGGGTTTCCTACGAAGTGAAAGTTCCATTATGAATCTTTAAATTCCCCAGGTTTCCTTACAGTTCCTTTTTGGATGGCTTAGGACAAGAATTATGTTTGTTGAAGTAAAATGTAGTGTTCATTCCCTAGTCAGACTAATTTACATATCATTTTCCTGTATTTTGTTTTTTCACTCATGATTTGGTTGCCTCTTATCCCACCATCTCTCCTTCTGTTCCTTCTCTTGTACCTAAATCTTGCCTCCTTTTTATTAGAGGTCCTCTTTTTCTATTCTATAGCTCTTAAAATCTGTTATGTATTTTGGCCCCAGTCTTATTTCCTTTAATCATATTACCTGATACTGTTCTCTAAGATTTTGTTTATACTTTCTTTCCAAAATAATATCAACCTTCTTTAAGGCAAGGGTTGAGACACACTTATATTTATGACCTTTATAATTGTGGTAAAAGTTGTTAAACTGAGCTGATTTCTCAGGAAGCACTATACTGTGGTAAACATGGGTCCAGAAACCTAGAGGCATAGATTCTGGCCCTGATTCTACCATCAGTTTGGTTACATGACCTTGCAAAAACAACAATTGTAGACTTCAGTTATTCCTCCATGAAAGGAGTTTTAATTATGTGACCTCACCAACAACCCAAGCAGTATATAATGATGATAGGCCCTTCAAGATCAGGGACTTTTTAAGATTTGTTCAAAGCCAGATAAATCTGTTTCTGCTTTCTTGGAGCTTAGCATGTTGTTGAGTCATTCTGATGCAGAGATTTATAAAAGAGGTATGGACATAAATATTAGATTTTGAAATTTAATTGTATACATAGCAAATATATAACATTTGTTTGTATCTGTATATATATAAAAACACATTGTATAATGTATAATACACATGCTAATAAACTGTCAAAAGAAATGAAATCAGTGGAAAGTTTTCTATATAAACTAATATGCTTTGTATTTTTGTATTAACAAAAACATGTTAATGCTGCGCCAATAGCAATGTACTTTTTTTTTTTTTTAAAGATTTATTTATTTATTTGTAAGAACTGGGGTACAGGCCAGAGATGTGGAGGGTGAGAGGATTCACCAGAGACAGAACGAAGAGCAGAACAGGCAGTACACTGCTGAGGGGAGCAGCAGGCAGGTCAGGAGAAGTCTGCCTCACCATGTGGTCACCTCCGGGGCAGGCGGGGATCGAACTCATGCGGAAGTGGCTTAAGCTGCGCCACCAGGGAGGGCCCCGCAGTGTACTTTCTTTGTATGTGAAGCAACAGTATTCTAGGAAATACATTAATAAATCCATTTTTAAAGATTATTCTTGGAAGACTGTGATGTAAATTAAATTCACTTTTTGGAATTTTTCAAACATAGCAAAAGACAATTCCTGTAAACAAATGGGTTAACAAATTTCGTAACTGAAAGGAATTTACATGATGTATATTGGGAAATGTGAAGTCCCGTATATGATGTAAGAAAAAAAAATGCTTATAGAAATAACTTGAAAACCTTTGGCTTTTAAAATATAAATAGCATAACTAAAAACTTATTTTAAAAATATTATTCAGGCCCTCGCTGGTGGTGCTACAGGTTAAGGTACAGCACTTCCAGCTGGCAGCAGCCACTTCTATCTATCCCACCTGGGACGTGACCCACATGGTGCAGCAGACCTCTCCTGACCTGCCCGCTGCTTTCCTCAGCAGTGTACTTCATTGATCTGCCTGTTCTGCTCCCTATTCTGTCTCTGGTGAATCCTCTCGCAGCCCCTGCACCTCTGGCCTGTATCCAGTTCTGTGTGCATAAATAAATAAATCTTTCTAAAAAATTATTCATAATAGAAAAATCACTTGTGAGATAATATTTTTAAAGTATGTAAGAGGACCTGAAGAGAGGATGTTAAACTGAAATTGAACATTTGAACTCCTAGTTCTTTTTTGAAAACTGATTATAGAGAATATCCTTTAAATAGGAATGTATGTTTTATTAAAGTTGATGTGGAATATGGAAATAGGATTTGATTATCGTTTTGAAGGAAATAAAATAGAACTTATATCTTTATCAGTGCCCCTCACTTTACCTAGAACTGTCACTAGTGTTTACCATCATAACCCTAATCTCTTAACCCTGGAGTTATATTATTTTCCCTCCTGGACTTTTTTATTTATGTATTTCCATTTCCATGGCTTGTATTAAATTAACCACAAAAAGTACTTTAGCTGCCTAATCATTGTTTTTTTTTCTTTGCCTCCAGAAGTGATGGATAATGAGAACTGTATCACATATGAGCAAAGGAATTAAGTAAAAACAAATTTTGAAGGTTCATTTTGTAAATGTGTATTAGTTGGCCTAGGGAGAGCCCAGGCTCTCCAGTGAGCATTCAGTATCCACCACCCAATATCCCTGACTTTTCTTCTCAGAATTTCACCTCTCATGCATATCACTCCTCCCATTCCAGGAAGACCTTGATGTGCAGTGTGTCCTCAACTTGTATATCTGAAGAGGATATTATGGAACTTAAGGTGTTCCTCTACCTCCTCTCTTCTTCTTTCTCTCCCTGTAGACCTGATTTTATTGGATTATGAGCTCTGAGGAAATAGGGATCATTCTTCCTCTTGCCTTTGTATTCCATATGCTATGTTGCTCTGTGCCTAATGAGAGGCAATGAATGCAGAATGCACTCACTGGGTGCTCATGGATAGAAGGCTTTAGAATGCAGTAGAAAGTCATTCTAGGCCTGGCGAAGGTGTGACGAGGGCATAGTAATTAAGTACCAGATTGTTGGTTCATTAGGAGGAAGCAGTACTGGTGGTGGTACTCCTGTTAATAAGGAATTGAATATACCTTTTGAGAGGTCACTAGGACCTGAGCTATAATATTGGTTATAGCTTTAGAGGGGAAAAAAGTTGCTGTTGATTTCAAAAGCCTTTGGGGTGTAGACCACTTGTTTGCATACTATAGTTCTTTTTATCCTAATTTTAAATAGTAATATTAGCAGTGGAATCAAAGTTCAGAGCATAAGTCTTAGCAGTTGTATCCTTGTGGGTAAGCCATACAATTTGCAGTTCCAGGCAAATAAGGGCTCTGATTTGGAAATTGAACATTGAAACTTACCTAGTGCATCTTGATTCAAACAATAGCAGTAAGTATTTTGTCTCAAGTTTTTTTTATGTTTAGTAGAATGCTGAAAGAAATGATTACTTTGACAGCTAATCTTTGGAGACTGAAATTGTAATAGAGCTCTCTTGTACTTACCTCTCAGCAGTTCTCTGGAGGTTTTCCTCGGAGACCAGTAACTTTGACTGTATGTGTCCTGAATATTGATAAGATATGTTTTCCTCCTCAGACGACACTACAAACTGATGAAGTTAAAAATGTGCCTTGTGGAACAAGGTAAGCTGTCTCCTTGCTTACCAAGTTCATCTTCATTTAGTTCTGGTGGAGTTTTCTTTTCACATCTTTTAAATAGGCATGGTGGTGCTCAGTTCTCAGGCCTTTGAGCAAAGGCCTATTGCCAAACAGGAGCTTTCCATCTTACAAGCCATTGGGGTGTGATTAGGAGAAGAAAAGAGAGAGTTTTAGCGCCAACAGACTTAATGTCATGTATCAGGACTGCCATAACATGCTTTATTGATTCTTATTTTCAGTCTTAGGCTCATGACTGCATTAAGCAGAAAGCACAGAGTTCCGACATACTCCTTGCCATTATACCTGCCTTGTTGACTTTTCTAAGCTTGCTTTCCTGATTTGTAAAAATCAGGTAATAAGGCCTACCTTGAGGAATTAGTGTAAGGGTTAGAATTAGTGAATAAAAGGTGCCTAATGCAGCACTTGATGTAGGGTACATGCTCAGTAAACTTAAAATCAAAATCAGCTGACCCACTTCTCATATGTGATACTTATTGAATGCTATCTAATTTAGAGTTTGTTAATAAGTCTGGGAAAAGGCCTGAGAATGTGAATTTCTGGCATCAGTTCTCAGGAGATGATTATACTGCTAGACTGAGGACCTCACTGAAAATGAAAGCCCTAAAAGAAGTTCAGAGAGACAGGCAAGTAAGACCCAAATTTTTTCCAGAGAATAATTAGTACATTGAATTGCATCAAAAGAATGATAGGAACTTCAAGGTATTTTTTTAATACCTCAGTCTTAAATAACTAGCATACCATGCTTTTAATGTCAGTAGAAGAAGAGAAATACATTTGAAAAGCAGAGACCCCTTTGTTTTAAGTTAACATATATGATTATCAAGTTACATATATGATATATGTAACTCTCTTTTATGGATTCTCTTTGGAGATGACTCAAAATTAGCAGCTGGTGAGATTCTGGATAAACTTCATTTTCATCTTTATGCTATCATATTGTCACTGTTTTTAAGGTCTGTGTTGCTAGGCTATGAAGTGTGGGATGCTTTGGATTACCAAGACATGTCTTTCTAGAGTGTCAATTTTACTTGAAGTTTAGGGGAAAATTTCTTTTGTTCATATTAGAACAAATATAGATTAAAAAGTAGATTAAAACTCTTAGTGAAACATTAAGATAAGGCAGAAATCCAAGAGTTTCAGCTTATCATTGGTCTCCACACATCTTGGGGAATTTTTTTTACTTTGTTCCTTTATGGAAAAGTTTGAGAAGTACACCACTTTAACTGTTGACTTCAGGTAGTCAGGACAAAGCAATAAATTGCCCTTGGCTATAGGGTTAGTATCTTGTGAGCTGACTTGATCACAGCAGCTAGAGAGGTCAGCCATTAGCTACGAGAAATCACAGCTGAGTGTGTGGGACTACTTGGGTAGTGACTACGGGGGTCGTTGTTAGTAGTGTGTATGTCTAGATTTTCTGTCATGTGGGATATGTTTGACAATGTGGGATTAATCTGAGATTATAATAGTTTTGTATTTGGCTCACATTTTTTCTATTTCTTTGTTTTCAGTGGTGGAGTCATGATCTATATTGACCGAATAGAAGTTGTTAATATGTTAGCTCCTTTTGCAGGTACGGTTCCTATCTGTTCTCTTGTTTTTATAGTTATAATTACACTGTAACTGAGAGATTGTCTCAGGAAAGGAGTAAGGTTAAAATTTTATGACCTCATTCATTTCTGATAAATTAAAAAGAAATATTTCTGGGATGTTTTTCATTTCTGGGGGATGGAGGCAGAAATAGTTCACAAGTTTTGGATAGAGTTGACTTTCTAAAATTTTCTCTCAGCTGAATGTTTCTAAGAACAAGATAGACAATTGATTATTTCTAGAAAGGAAAAGGAGTATTTTTTTACTGGTCACACTGAAAGATAATTAACCTCCCTGTGCCCTGTGACTTGTGATCATAGAAAACTCTCCCAGTTGAGATTTGCTATAACTTGCAGAGCAAAGTCCTCAATATAGTAAAACATTTTCTTCATAACAGTGAAAACCTGCAAAGATGGAATGACTGCTGTTCAAATAAAAAACTTAATTAAAAGTTCTAAAGAAAGACCTGTCCCTTTTTTATGTTAAATTTTTTTCCACAAGTTTTTTGTGGTAAAAGGCATAAAACTATGGAATTTATCATCGTAACCATTTTTACGTTTACATTCACATTGTTGTATAGCCATTTGTCTCCATGACTGCTGTTCTTGTAACTACCCATTCAGAATAACTTCTCATTATCAACCCCCTGCCACTACCTAGCATTTGCCAATCTACTTTCAGTATCTGTGATTCTGAATACTTTGTTATCTGATATAAGTATCTTTTTTTATGTGTGTGTGTGTATGTATCTTGTTTATCCATTCAGATAATATTGGATTTATAATACCAATTTTGAATTCTATGCCAAGGGAAATACTATTTTGGAGGGAATAAGGAACTATGAGACTTTTCCATTTTGTTTATCCATCCATCCATCAGTGGACACATGTGCCACTTCCATGTCTTAGTTTTAATAAATAATGCTGTTATGAACATGGGTCTCTATGAGATCCTGCTTTCAGTGGAAAGAGCTACCATTTTATCTATATTATTAAAATTAGGAGTGCCTCTCTGGTGGCACAAGAGGTTAAGTCGCAGTATTACGAAACTGTCCAAAGCCACTGCCAGCACAAGTTCGATCCCCAGCCAGAGAGCCAAATGGCATAGCAGACCTCTCCTCTCTCACCTGCTGAGCAGTGTGTTTCAGTCAACCCACCTGTTCTGCCACCCATTTTGTCTCTGGTGAATCCTCTCACCCCTGCACCTCTGGCCAGTACCCCAGTTCTTATATGCATAAATAAATCTCTTTTAAAAAATAAAATTGACATGTTCGCAAGTACAGGCAACTTTGTTTGGCAAGAGTAATTTAAAAAGGTGAAGTTAGAGCCTTTGCCCTTAGGGGGCGGGGGGTGGGGAGAGAAAAGGATTTCAGGGCACACAGCAAGTGTTTTATTGTCAGGTAGTGAGTGGGTTTACATTTTCAGTGATTGTTTTCCTTGTTTCCCTGGTCACATATTAGTGAAATGGATTATGACTGGAAAAATAGTAGGGGAGAGATTTCTTCTTTTCTCACCAGAAATGAATAGAAAACCATTGGGTAACCAGTTCATTAGGAAATGACCAAATGAGTTAGCCAACAAGTATTTTGTGATGGCCTAGCCTTGTTTGCGATCTGTAATCCAGTTATATCTTCCATGGAAAAATCAGTGGAGAAAATCCTTGGGTTTAAAAGGAGAAAGCAGCACATTTAATAGGTAGAGCACAGGTTCTATCTAATATGTGCTTTTGGGCATATTTCTAAGATACTCTGTTTCTTCTGTTTCCTTTTGTGCAAAATTAGGAGACAATTAAGTGCTAATGTATGTAAATTGCCTAATGTAAAGCCTTTAATCACCTTTAAAAACTGTTTGAAAGTGATCTTTTGCACCTGCTTCCTTACTTTATTCCCACTGTTCCTCAATTATTTCAGGCTTCTTTATCTTTGATCTCTTTCTCTCTCTTTTGCTTTATAGTAATTGGCTTAAACTTTCCCTGCCTTTTTTCTCTATGCCTTACTTTTCATCTTCACACCACTGCCACAGTTACAGATCTGATTGTATCATGCTGTTGCCTGAAAACTTTTATAGTTTCTTATACTTTCCTTAGAATGGATGTCCATTAGTATTGCAAATACAGTAATATCTGGAAAACTAGATTAAAGAACAAATCGAGTTTGTGAGTTGCGTTTCATGATTTTAGTATTTTATTGACACTTTTTCCCTCATGTGTATTAACTTTTACATTGGCTGAATTAGAAAATGCTGGGTTAGTGTTCTGTAAAACAAACTTGAATTAAGCTCAAAACAATTACAGTACAGTAGACTCTAAACTCTTCTTCAGTGTTTGACATTGTGAGGAACTACACTGCAGATTATGACAAGACCTTAATCTTCAATAAAATCCACCATGAACTGAACCAGTTTTGCAGTGCCCACACACTTCAAGAGGTTTACATTGAATTGTTTGGTAAGTGTTCCATTTTAAACATTTGACTAACCAGTAGAAATCTTGTTCAGCTTGTTTGTGGATGCTGTTATGATGTTAGTGAACACTGCTATTTTAGCATTCTTCTGAATTGACAGTAAGGCAGTTGCCTTTAAAATCTTCTTTTAAGGTTAAGGTTTCATATATTTAAATTAATACACAGAAAAGCTATTTTAAGAATGATAATCATCTTCTAAAATGTGTAACATATGATTTGGTAATGATTACAAAAACTTCCTTATAAGTTCTAGGTTTTTTTTTTACTATGATAACTTACTGAAAGTTATCTTTATTGCTGTTTTAATAATTTGGAAAATTCAGACATTTGTATCATGAGGCATCCCAAAACTCACACCCATGTTCACTAGGAGGACCAGCAGGACTCAGTATATAGTCATACACAGCTGAGATGATACAAGACGATACAAAACAAAATCAGCAAAAGGAAAAGGTACACAGGTGAAGTTTGGTAAAAGCCAAGCAAGCACAAGTACCCTTCCTGGCGCAGTAGGTTAAAGCACAGTACTATTAAGCTACCTGCAGCCACTGCAGCACAAGTTCTGTCCCCAGCCGGCGAGCTGATCCACGTGGCACGGCAGACCTCTCCCGACTTGCCCGTTGCTCCCCTCAACAGTATTTTCAGTACATCTGCCTTGTCTGCTCCCCATTCTGTCTCTGGTGAATCCTTACACACCTCTGATCTGTACCTCACTTCTTGTGTGCATAAATAAATAAATCTTTAAAATACCAGCCAAGCACAGTCTTCCAAGAATCTTCTCCCAGTGGGAGTCAGAATTGCAACAATACCTGTGAAACATTTTATAGTAGGCAAACTCATTAAAGACTCTGGACCCAGAGTTTTTATTGGGTGCTGATCACGTAGACATCATTTGCCTAGCATAAAACCAGACTGTCAAAGGAAAACAGCTATTTAGCATAAATCACATTGTAAAAACATTTTAGGTACAGTTAGTCATTCCTAATCAGTTCTGGGGATAGTGGAAACCCTCTTACAATCCAATCTCCAGGTTATAACCTTTACCAAGGTCAGCAGTTATGAACTTCTTCTACACAGTTACTTTCATTTGTGATAGCAAAAACTCAAACATAGATTGGGTTGTTAGTGTTGGTTACTCACTTCTGCCTCCTAGAATTCTTAGTGAACTTTAGAGATAGTTAATCCGTTTAGAAATCAACCAGATGATTCCTGTTTAATGATTGACAACTACCAGGCTGTTGTATAAGGAAACTTATCTGACCTGATTTGTCACATTAGCAGTCATTTTAATAATGTGAATGTGCTATTGAGGTAAATAAAAAAATTATGCATTGCAAAGCCAGTGAAGAGATTGTCCTTTCTTGTTTGCTTCAAAAACATTCATGTGAGCTTTTTTTTTCTTCCCTTTTTTTAAATCCAAAATAATAGAGACTAAGGTCCATGGAAATAAAATTTTAGTTTTTGGGGGTTTGGGTAAATATTGATGATGGGATTTTCTTTTTGCGAATCAGGGCATACTAAGTAAAAGTTTTGAAGTTAGATATTAGATTTAGATTCATTGTTTATTGGTTAAAGTTAGACTTGCTACTTGTCAATCTTTCTTCCTAAATATCTTGTTAGATAATTTTTAACTTTCTTGCATACATAAAGAAAACTAAATACATATAAAGTATATATAAATATGTCTTACCCCCTAAATATAAAATATTCTCTGTAAGAGAATAGCACTGTGGAAGCATTAGGTGTAATAATGATTAGTTTTGTTCCAATGTTAATGCACTATATAAAAATTGAACATCGAGTATCATGAGAGCTGTTGTTCTTGGCTTCAAAAACAGATCAAATAGATGAAAACCTGAAGCAAGCTCTGCAGAAAGATTTAAACGTCATGGCCCCAGGCCTCACAATACAGGTAAGTCCTTTCCTAGGGAAGTTCTTTGTGGATTTTGAGAACTTTGAATTCAATAGTCCTTTCATTGAACTGTTTACTCAGCAATTATTTAATGACAGTGCTGTGGTGATTTCTAAATCTGACTTTAGTTCTCTGCAAAAATAAAATTCTCTTGGAGTTTACCACAGGTAGCATTTTCTTATAACTCTTGTAAAGGGGTACACATAAGCCGAGGCTTTTACAAAGAATTAAAGTCTATACCTTCTATGTGTGAGGCATTTTTAAGCTACTGTAATGGTTATAAATCAGTATAAGGGTAAGCCTTGTTCTCACAATGATTTAGAAAAAGGATTTTGTGTTTTGGCTTGAACAATAATTCTAGACAGTATAGCTGTTACAAAGTAGTAACAGACAGATGAAATGATTGAACAAATATTGTGGTAAAAGTTTGGTAGAGAATATCTCCAGAGAGTGTTTCAGGAGACAACTAATTGAGCTGAAATCTCAGGTGTATCTGGAATTATTTGTAGGATTTTATGTGGGGGATAGGAGTATTTTATGTGGGGAATAGAAGGTATTTCCAGTGGTTGAGAGGATGGTATGAGGAAAAAATCAGGTAGCAAGTGAGTGTGGTGGTGACAGTGATGATGGTAGTACTGGGAGATAGACTAGTGGGAAGTTATAGGCTTTGTTGTTTTGGGGGGAGGGAGGGGTAGGATCAGCTTACTTTTAAATTGGGTTGAAATCCATTAGTGTATTCTAAAATTCCATGGGCTGTAACCAGCATTTTACATAAAATGAAATTAAATAAGAAGTCAGTGTATGGCATGTAGTAAGTTTAAGTATTACTCCGTGAAACTTTTTTCTTTGACTTAAGTGTATGGGGTAGGTATTTGTATTATCAATATAAAATGCATTTTTTATTGTGGACATGTTCAGTTAAATTTGGAAGCCTGGCTCTGCATCTGAATTACTTCAAAAGTAGTAGTGTGACTTCTCTCATGTCGTCTCTCAGAGTTCATAGACTGGTTGATAGTTGTGATGAACATTACTATAGCCAAAGACAAACCTGCTTAGGTGTCATGTGTCTCAAGTTTTTTACTCCTCCTGAGAGTGTGCACTCACTGTGAGTGACTATGTGATCTCCTACAAGACTGGGACGAGGGCAAGAGTTTTCCCAGTCGTGACTGATGCTGTGCCATTATCTCTGACTGATGGCCTGAGTGTGAGCCACCAAAGTTAATGGATCATTTGAAATGTCCATCTTGGACATTGTAAAATCTTGGTTGTTCATTTAGCTGTACTTGGGGTAACTTCAAAAATAGTGAATGTGAATGTCACAGATTCCTAGATTCTACCTCTGTTGTTACTTGGAGGGGTATCTCATTCATCTTTACAGTTGCCTAGAGTCCTTGCTATATATTACATAACCATTTCCTGTTTCCTTTGCTGTCATTGAACAAAGTGTAGTGAATATTCCTCACACCTTTCTTTGTATGTATGAATTATCTTCCCACTGGCTATAAAATTGCAGTGACCAAGCTCTGCATCCTTTAAAATCCTTCCCTTGGGATAAGTTCTTAAATGTTGCATTGATGAGTCAAAGCTTTTGGGGGGTTTTTGACACATGCCAAATTGCCTTTTGGAAAATTTTAGCTTACACTCTTTCATTGACAGTATTTATGAGCTGTAGTTTTGTACACAAGTGTGGCTATACTCAATTTGCAGATGCATGCATGCTCTCTCTCTCCTTTTGGAGAAAATCAGTTCAATATTTTGTGCTGGTTATTGAGATTGAATGTCTCCTGTATTTATTGGCCATTTGTATTTCATTTGTGAAATTTTTTTTGCTAATTTTTTAGTAATCTGTTTTTATCTTTTTTAATGTTATTGTAACTCTTTTAATAAATACTTAGAAAACATTTCCTGCTAGTTCTTTCTTTGTCATTTACCTTTATTTCTTTCTCCTGACAATTAGGAAGTTTTTGATCTTCGCATAGTAGTTTCTAATATTTTTTCTTTATAGTATTTTGCTGTGATACCATGCTTTAAGAACATTTTACTATAGGAATGTAAATAAAATTAGAAATTACAAGTTTTCCTTTCTTTGTGCTATTGTAATTTTAAATCTTTAGTTCATTTGGATCTACTTTGATATCAGTTGTGAGGGAGGGGGGTTCCTATTCCCCTCCCCCCAATTTAGTAACAACAGTAATTACAGATTATTTATGCGCTTGTCATTCCTTCCCTCACCCATTTGAAATGATGTTTGTATTTTATGCTAAGGTCTAAGACTAGAGTCATTTTTGGATTTTGTTCTGTTCTACTAATCTTTCTGTTTCCCTTTCTTCTCTTACCTGTTGAGCTCTTGGTCCTTCGTGTCCAATCTGCTTCTCCTGTTTTTTTCTCCCTGTCAATAAATGGTGCCTCTCTCCACTCAGGCTAATCTAGAAGTGTAGGAGGACATCTCTGACAGTCCTTTTACCCATAACATCTCATCAGTTCCAATATCCTGATTCTGCTACCAAGTTCTGTTTAAAACTGTTTAACCTCTGTCTTCATTACCACCTCCTAAAGTCAAGCTACCATTTCTTGCCTGACTTTTGTAACAGTTTCCTGTTTTATTTCCTCACTTTCACTTTTATTCTTGCCCACATCTTTTTCTGATTAACAGCAGAAGATGTTATTTCTCCCCACATTTGATCTTTTTTAAGAATGAATAACACCTTACAGGTATATCTGAATATATATCTGTATATGTATTTACTTCTTAAGAAGTAAATAAGCTTACTTTTGGTGTTTTTCATTCTTATGCATGCTTTTACACTTTTAGTATATAGTATATATCAATCTTGTTTTGCACATTTGAAAACAACTAAGTCATATCACACAGCACATATCACTTAGCCATTTTTTAATTGATTATTTCTGATATGTAATAAACATATATATCTTGTATTAACTCATTTTAACAGACATATATTACACATATACCACAGTTTATCCATTCATCTAATGGACATGCATTCCAGGTTTATAGATTTTAAAATAATAGTGTAGTGAATTTTCTGTACATGTCTCCTTGAATATAATACCCAGAGACTACATTAGTATGTAAACATCTTCAGATAAATTTGGTTTATTCAGTGTTAGATTATTTCACTGTCACCAGCAGAAAGTAGAGCCTATTGCTTCAAACTCAGTAACATGTAGAGATTTTTCTTGTTTTCACTTTTGCCCATCAGATAGATGGCAGTCAATTGGTTACCTCAGTTTTATTTTAATATACATTTCTTTGATTACTCGTGAGATTAAGCCATTAAACTGGTTGCCATTTTTCAGAGTTTGAAAAAAATCTAAAGTTCAGTTTATTTTAACTATCTATTAAGAAGAGCTTGAAAGCATCTGCTTTCGAGTTTACAGTGTAGCAAAAATCTAAGAATGATAGAGGAAATATTTTGCTCTTCCCCTTGCTGTCTTTCTGCAGGCTGATTCTGTGACTATTTCTGGGGAGGAAAGTCAGTTTCCACCTTTAATTTGAAGAACATTTCCCTTCATGCATAAAATAAAAATGCTGTCACCATCTATTGGCTATCTAGGACTTACAGGACCCAAGACTTCCAGGTTGGGAAATAAGTGAGACAGAGAGGTTGTTAATATCCCGAAATTTCCTATCTTTATGATCTTATTAGCCCTTAACCATTCTTACTGAGAAGAATATCCAAATCCAAGCCCACCTGATTTTTAAAAGGGTCTATAGCAGACTTCTGGGTGGGAACACAGGGAGCTGAAGACCCAGGCCTTCCTTCCCCAGTGGATTTCATCTTCAACCCCCATCAAAATGAAGAGAAAGTACGAAGGATCTTTTAAATTTACCTAGATTTGCAATTCCTATCAAGTTTTCAGTGGCATTCAGTGACAAAAGAAAAGTACTAATATTGCTGACATGTATGTGAAACCATAAAAGACCTTGAATAACCAAGCAGTCTAGACAAAAAAGTATGGGGATATCATACTCCCGGACTTCAAACTATACTACAAATCTACAATAATGAAAAGTAGTATGGTATCAAAATAAAAACAGACAGAGCCATGAAACAGAATTGAGAGAGACCCCATTATGTGAACAGTTACTGTGACAGAGGAACTAAAAGACATACAATGGAGAAAGGAAAGTCTCTTTAACAATGGCATTGGAAAACAGGACAGCCACATGCAAAAGAAACAAGGCTACTGCCTTACACCACATATAAAAATAAACTCAAAATGAGTTAAAGACTTGGATATAAGACCTCAAACCATAAAATTCACAGAAAACTTTGGCAAAATATTGCATGACATTGGTTTTAAATGTCTTTGGGGACTTGACTTCAACATCAAAGGAAACAAAAGCAAAAATAAACAAATGGAATTAAATCATATTAAAAAGCTTCTGCCTAGTGAAAGAAACTTATTAAAAAGATACTCTACAGTATGCAAGGAAATAATTTGTATCATACTTTTGGTATGGGACTAATCCAAAATCTACAAAGAACTCATACAACTTAACAGAGAGAAAATAAAATATTTAATCAAAAAATGGGCAGAAAAATTAAACATATTTCTCCAAAGAAGACGTACATGTCCATCAGGATCATGAAGAAATGCTCATCATCATTTATCAGGGAAATGCAAATCAAAACCATGAAATACCATATCACACCTATGGCACTGGCCCGTATCAAAAGGCTAGAAACAGCGATCTTGACAGGGATGTGTAGAAAAAGATACACTGTTGGTGGGAATGTATACTGAGCCAGCCCCTGTGGCAAACAGTATGGAGGTTTCTCAAACTTAAAATCAGAGCAAACTATATGATCCAGCGATTTTACACCTAGGTTTCTATTCACAGAATGTAAAGGTACTAATTTGAAAGGATATATATGCTCCTCATGGTCATTACAATACCGTTTATCTTTTTTTCCATAACCAAGTTATAGAAACAACTTAAGTGCCCAATGATAGATGAGTAGTAGATAGGAAGGCGTGGCATTATACATACTACTCAGTCACTCAGTCATAAAAAAAAAAATGAAATTTTGTCAGTTATGAAAAATGAGTGGAACTGAATGGTACTATGTTTGGCAAGTAATGTCAGAAGGAGAAAGACAAATACTGGATGTGAAATAGAGGGGGAAAAAAACCAGAATGGACAGAACCAAAACAAAACAAATTGAGACTGGTCTTTCAAAGGTCTTTTCCCTAAAGGAGTTTATTGAATTTAGTGCCTCAGTGGGTAATTTTTCCCATAGCCAGGCTTTTTTGTTTTGTTTTGTTTAAGAAAAAGTGGCTTGTTTTCGGTTTTTGATGTGATAGCACAAAAAGTAGATTTTCTAGTGGGATTCTCATGTGTTCAGTAGACAGCTATGTCAGAGTTGTCTTAATAGTTTCGTTTGAGCTCTTCCATAGAATTAGTTTCAGATCTTATTTTTCAAATGTACTTTGGCTTTTTTACTTTTATTTTTTAGGCTGTGCGTGTTACAAAACCCAAAATCCCAGAAGCCATAAGAAGAAATTTTGAGTTAATGTGAGTAATCTGCATGGGATCTCAATACTTTTATTTAGGGCTATGTACATATTAGTATACCAGGTTAGAGGAAAGTTATGTGTGAGATACCATGTTCTGAGGTGAAGTTATGTCTAGTCCATATTTCTATCCTAGTCATATTGCCTATTCTTGTGTCTTAATTCCTACCTGACTCTTAGTTTTCTCTTTACATATGAACATCTCTTTACATATAAGCAGTTTCAGTGTCTAAGGATACAGTTGCTATGGAACTGTTACTGGGAGCCTTAGTAGCTATTATTTAGATGTGAATAGTCCCTGAAATTAAATATTAATAGAGGTGACAAAGACTCCTAGCTGTTAAGGTTGAATACTGTGTTGTAACAGTAAGAATTAGACACCCATCATTGGTGAAAAGTTTGGATTTCTATTATATGTGATTGTGCTTCTAAAATTACTAGATCTGGATCTTTTAATTTGCATGTAGGAAAGCCGTACCTGAGTTGACTCCTGATTGTCTTCTTTCGGGTGCCCAGGACTGACAGGGAAGAACTTACTTGGTTGCAAAAAGTTAGTTTCTAAGTGTTTTAGAGTACATCCCTTTAGGAGAATATGTATTGTGATTTATTTGTGGTATTTTCACATGTCTTAGCTACAGCATAGACCCTAGAGCAGCCTCAGTCCCTCACTTCCCTCCCCAGCCCCACTGAGTCCCTGTTATCATTGCTCCGGTAGGGCCTTCTGGGGCTCCCACTGGATCTGAGTAAAGGTCTCACTCTGTTCTGACTTGTTCAAGGTCTCAAAACTGGAATTCCTATCTTAATTTATGCTGGGAAAAGTCCAGTCTTTTCTCCACTGTGACCCAAGCCTCCCCTAGTTTCTGTTTGGCCAGCATGAAACCCAGAAGTTTAAAAACCATGTTGGAGCCATCCAGCAAGACTAGCTCCTTCTTCACGGTATTTTCTGTTAGTTGTGCCTCAAGCTTCTGCTACCCTGACATGAGTTTACTCAAATCCTTTCGTAGCTGTTGATATATCTCTGCTTCTCTCTGTAACAGCTTCTTGGTTAGTTCAGCCATAGTGGGGATGGAAGTCTCTGGGGAGCAGGAGAGGGGCATGCCTGATTGCACATTCTGAAAGGGACTAGAGCTCACCTTTTTTAATTGGTGCTCTCCCCTCAGTGTTCTGTAGTGTGGTTTAAATGGCAACATCGTCATGTTACAGGTATGAAAAAGTTGAAACAAACGTCTTTAGGAAATTTGATATGTTAAGAGGAAAAATGTGAAATTCTGAAAAAATAACTGCAGAAGTCAAGAATACAGCAAATAGACAAATGCTGGGGGGTTCGAGAAATAATATACTTCTTTATGGAGTGATACACTCTGGAGTCCATTTTGTTCCTTGTCTGTATCTTTTATTACATAGTTTTGTATTTCCTTTTTCATTGTAAAAAAGGAACACTTCTTTGAAAATCCTAAAGCATACCATGTCTTTAATGTCAATGGAAGATGAGAAAAGCATTTAAAGCTAAAACATAAGTATGAATACAGTATTTTTAAAGGTTGTAAATGTAATAGCTTCTGGTGATAAAGGTGAATACTGTGTATCTCTGCCCTCATATAACTCATAGTATTCAGAAATGTCATTTTATTTCTTTATGACTGTTGACATGAGAAAAGGAAGAAGCTTTTTCCCTGTTGGGGGTGTTTTGGAGAAACTGTTGGAATTACTTCTCAGATAATTCTGCATCTTTCCTAATTTGTTTAGACTATTGGAATTCCAAAATTAAAAGCCACCTTGGGGTTATCTAACCTCCCACCTAATAGTAATCTTTTTTTTTTTTTTAAATATGTATAATATTTCTACTAGATGATCACCCAGGCATGACTTGTACATACTTTGGGGATAGGACAGTCTCATTTCTATTACTAGAATACTCAAAATCCTTAGAAAGGTCTTCCTTATATTGAGCCAAGTTTATGACCTAATAACTGCCACCTAGTTATATCTTATTCGCAACAAACAGCGCCACTGCACAGGGTGGCCGTCTTAGGACGCTGAAATCTAGTTCTACCTGCTCGCCAAGCCATGCACCCGAGGTAGCATCTGCTCAGAGATTGCTGCCTTTTGCTCATTGGCACATTGCTGCTATGTGGGCTCACGTAGGAAACCTGCCAACAAAGAAAGCACGTGTACATTCCAGATACTTCCCAGATCAGACCTTTGCCTGGTACAGTTAGAAGAAATTGTCAGTCTAAAGTTCAAATGTGCAAAATTTGATTCCTTTCTCTGGGTGACTAAGCAAATAATTTAACCTTTCACTTCTAATTCATTACAGTCAAAGTAGGGTAAGTCATCTGTTGTTCACTGTAATGAGTCAGAAAGTTCTTTTTGAAAATGATTTTCTGAACCACTGTAGAGTGATAACTAATTGATTGTGATTATACTTTAGAGAACTATTTCTAATTTTTATAATATTTTGTTCCATAGGGAGGCTGAGAAGACAAAACTTCTTATAGCAGCACAGAAACAAAAGGTTGTCGAGAAAGAAGCTGAGACAGAGAGAAAAAAAGCTGTTATAGGTACTTGAATTTCTTTTCTCAAATGGATGTTTTTTAAGTACATATGAGTTTGTCCTGTTCTCTATCAGTCTTAAGTTGGATGCTAATGGTACTCAAGTAAGATTGCATCAGAGAGTGAAGAATTCAGAAAAAAAAGTGGATAAGGTTTTTGGGCAGAGTTCTAGTAGGGTTTTTGTGTATATACAGTAAGAATAGCAAAGTGTTTTGTCTAAAACTCAGCATCATAGTGTATATACTCACTGTTAACATGCACCAGTTTTATCTGGATAGCTAGAGAACTGCCTTCTGAAAAAATACAGCTCATTTTGAATTATAGTGACTTCTCTAACATCCCAGGATACTATGATATTAGATTGCCATCTTGGACTCTATAATGAAGCCTTAACATTTTACTATAGTTCCTTCAGATCATATTTTCTTTTAAGAAAAAATTTATATATTGTTTGAAACTTCTTTTGTGCCCTTACTGGTCTTTCACCTTTCTTCTCACATAGCTTCTGTTCTGAAGCTGATATACCTTTTCTGTCAGTACTACATAAGTATGTAACAATAATACATCATAAAAATGTTTTAAACTATAAAAATAGTACTGGCTCTGCCTTTTATTTTACAACCTGCTTTTTTTTTCTTACTAACATTGTTTGAGTCTTACTAATATGGATACATGCAGAATTAATTCATTTTTAACTGTTGTGTATTTCATTCTGAGTGAACCCCAATTCAATCTGATGTGAAGATTTTGTTAATCTCTGATTTTTCCTTGTTACAAACAGTGCATCTGAGGTATCCTTTTCCCTGTGTCCTTTGTCCAAGAGTTTTGGTGTAGGTCAATGTGCTGTCAACAGTTTTTGTCCTGATCCATAATAGGATGAGTACAAAAATTGAGAATGAATGTTTAGAAGCCCTTAAAGCATTTTAATGCAGTAATTTTGTCTTTTGAATCTAATAAAAAGTCAATTTATATTGGTATATTTGTTTTTAAATTTATACCCTAGTAATTAATTATTTTATGGTTCACAAAATATTGGTTCCTACTAGATTGAAATACAAAAAAAAAAAGAATAAAAGTACATTTCACAGGTGGTTTGAAAAGTACTCTAGAATACACATCTCTTGAGTAGATTGATGGGTAACAGAGAATACTCATATTCAAGTTTACAGCATTGCTAAATTGCTGTCCACTGTGATTTTTCTAGTTGAATTCCAGTTTCTGTGCTGCTGTATTGAATTCCTACTTTTGCAGATTCTCTTCAACCTTGAAATTATCAATAAATTTAAAAAATTGGTTGGCGGTAGACAATTTAATTCCTGATTTCTTGTAAAATTGAATATTAATTATTGATAATAAGGTTTCCCTTTTTTTGTATAATTGTTAATATCCTTAGCCAAACACTTATTTACTTTTTGGAATTGGTTTGCAGGAGTTCTTCACATGTTCTGGATAGTAATCCTTTTCCAGTTTGATGCATTGCAGAGTTTCCCAGTTTGTGTTTTACCTTGAACTTTCTGATGCGTAGTTTTATGTAATCAGAGTCATCAGTCTTTTCCTTTCGAGTTTGTGTTTTTTCCTATCTTGTTTAAGTACTGTTTCCCAACTTAAAGTAATAATTTTTTTCTAAAAATTACAAAGTTTTGCTTTTCATATTTAGGTTTGAATCCATTTAGAATTTAGTGTATGACAAGGAATACAGTTTATTTTTTCCAAATGGCAAGTCCATTCTCTAAGATTACTTAGTAAGCAGTTCATTATTTCCTCTACTTATTTTAATGCCTCATCTGTCATATAACAAGACCCATTATATGAATTGTTCTATTATTAGTATCTGTATTTTCTTTCAATTTCATATTCTTTCTCTAGTAATACCTTGTTTTTACTTGTAACTTTTACATTAAGTCTTGCTATATCTAGGAGAACAGGTTTCTTCTTAACTATTTTTCTTAACTTTTCCTAACTATTCCTAAAATAATCTTGGACAATTCTAGTCCCTTTACTCCTCCATATAAATTTTAAAACCAGTTCCTCAATTTCTGTAAAATACTGTGTTTTGGGGTTTGTGTTGGAATTGTATTTCCTTTATACATCAATTAAGAGAGAATCACAGTATTTATAAAATTGAATCTTGTAATTCTATTTCTTCATTTATGAAAAATGTCTTTCAAAAAAGTGTCATCACTTCTTGATGTTCTTGTACATTGTTTATTAGAGATTTATTCATATGTAGGTCTCCAGGATTTTTTTGCTATTGCAAATAGGCTCTTTTTTTGTGCTGTGGTAAATAGTCGCATTTTCTAACTGGTTGTTGCTTTTTATAGGTATGTGTTGAATTTTTTCCCTTTAATTTAGTTATCTTAGTGATAACTGAACACTTAGTGTTATTTCTGTTAGTCCCTCACATTTCCCGTTTGATCAGTGCTGTATCTTCAGATCAAGACAGTTCTGGTTTTTATAGAGTACCATACCTATCCTTATTTTTGCTTTATGTTGTAACTTTAGTACACAGTTGAAAGGACAGAAGTAATAGGCAATCTTGTCTTATAACTAACTTTAAATAGTCTCAATAATTCTTGCTATCCTTAGCTTTTATCAGGTCAAAACATTTCCTTCTGTTTCTTGCTTGGCCAAGAATTCTTGTAGAATTCTTCTTCTGTACCTGTTGAGATAATCATGGCTTTTCTTTTGAAAACTGTTAAGGTGGTGAATTATATTGATAGATTTTCTTTACTCAGTTATTTTGTGTTCCTTGGGATAAATTCACTTGGTCTCGATATTTGAAGTTTACCTCAGGATCTTTTTCTATATGGCTTTCTAGCAATTTCTTTGTATTTTTTTTTTTAA